TATTGATGAATAATAAAATAAATCATACTAGCTCGATTGATGGTTTCATTTAATTTATTTAAACCAGGTTACCTTTAATAATATTTTTCGTTCATTTATGAAAATATCAAATTAGCCCGTAATCCTGAATCCTGATACATAAATTTAGCCTATTAATTTAACACATGTACGACTGTACTCAGTGTTGCACTATCAAATGCAATTGAAGCGCCTCTATGCCAGGGTTTTTATGTTCCTGGTCAGGCTATATATTGTCGAACAAAATCTTCTTTCTACTATTTTGACAAACGATTAAGGCATAAATCGGAATACAGTGACCGCTTCGTCCATGAAGCTACAGATATTAGCTTCATGGCTTCGTCACAGTCAGTACTGTCACTGTCAGAACTGTCAAATCGTTATCGAACTCGAGCTGGTGCGAACTGCGATGTTATTTTTTATTACCCATTAGTGCTCAGTCTTGAGACAGCAACCACATAACACATAACGCTTTAAAATCTCAGTTTACAGTTACGCTTATCTTCAAAATGGAAATATCTTTTAAAGGGAAAAGAATATTGGTCACCGGCGCTGGACAAGGTTAGAAAAAAATATTTATCGCTTGTATTTATTTACTACTGTACACACGTGTGAATATTCACTACCCATGTATTTAACTATTAATATGCTTTATTACCAAGCGTGAACGAATGACTTCTGCCTTTATAAATGTGTTTTACTTTTAGGTATTGGCCGTGGTATAGCCGTAGAATTATGGCGAGCCGGCGCAAATATTGTAGCGTTATCAAGAACTCGCTCACACCTAGAAGCTCTGCAAAGTGAATATCCTTCAATTGACATAGTTGATGTTGATATTGGGGACTGGGAAAAAACTAGGAAAGTTGTTGAATCTCTTGGACATTTTGATGCACTGGTGAATAATGCAGCAATCGCCATATGCGAGCCCTTCCTGACATGTTCATCAGCTGATTTTGATAAGTATGTTATCAATATGTGTGGTATTTAAAATCTGTTTTTGCAACTTGAATTGGCTTATTCCTAATTTATTTTATTTATGAAAATCCATTTCTGTTATCACCTATTAAAAATCCATAGTTATTAGTATATTTTACTAACTTAACTTCCTTTGTTTCAGAACTTTTAATGTCAATGTAAAAGCAGTACTTAATATAAGTCAAGTTGTTGCTAGAAAAATGATTGAGAATAAAACCCATGGTGCCATTGTCAACATCTCATCACAGGCTTCTAAGGTAAATAATAAAAAAATAAGACTAAAAAGATGGTAAAAAGATTTACTTTTTTACTTCCATTTCATACCTGAAAAGGAAAATGGGATCTCATAGATTGCAGTTTTTGTGTGTTATGAAGTCTTGTTCATTATGATTTTTGTTTTTTTAGGCTGCCCTACATGATCATGCCATTTATGGTGCCTCAAAGGCTGCTCTGGATTCTCTAACCCGTACCATGGCTTTGGAACTAGGCCCTCATGGAATCCGTGTAAACTGCGTCAATCCTACTGTCATCATGACTGAAATGGCTAAAGTTGGCTGGTCTGACCCTGCTAAAGCCAATAGTATGCTGTCAAAGATTCCTCTTGGAAGGTAAGTAAATTATTTACATTTTAATAAAGTAACAATGCTTATTCCACATCTAATTACATTGTTAGATCTTAGCATACAATAAAGTTAATGTCTTAGATTATAAAACTCCCACACTCAGCACTCTTGAATAAAAATAAAGATGTATGCATTGAGATAACCAAGATGAATATTAATTATAGACATTTATAGACATTTATAAGTATTATTATTGTTATTGTAATTTTTTTATTTTTATTTCCATATTAATGTCCTGATTTATTGTTTCTTTTTTGTGTGCCAAATAAATCATTCTTTCTTTCTTTCTTTCTTTCATTAACACTAGATGAAATTAAATTTTCCTGTTACAGGTTTGGTGAAGTTTCTGAAGTAGTGAATGCTGTAGTTTTTCTTCTGAGTGAAAAGTCAAGCATGATCAATGGTGTTGAACTGCCAATTGATGGAGGATATCTAGCCACATAAAAATCTCAATTTGTGTACAAGTCTCTCAGTCTCGAAAATGACTTATTATTTTTATAAATACTTATCCAAATATATTATGTATGTTTTTTCATTCAATGCTTATAGCTTTATCTGAACCAGTGCAATAAGTAGGATAGATCTATGGAAGAAAATATTTAGGCACTAATATAAATTCTCCATCTAATCCATGCTGCACTTTTACTGGATCAGATAGTAGGTATGTGACACTGGAAGTGATTTTTACTACTTTGAAAAGGGTATATACCAAAGAAAATATAGGTCTAAAATATGTTGTTCAGATTTAGACTGTGCCATTATTTTTTGATTGTCAATATAACAGGTATTCAGTGTATTTTTAGTGTACCTAAGTGTGTAACTGTTGTTACTTAGTATTTTGTTCCTATAATTTATCAGACAATAGAAAATGAATTGCGTCACGTGAGGATCAGCACCTCCGCTTACTGAAGGTTAAAAGTTGACATTAAGTATATTATTCTATATTTTAAGTAATATTCTTTTATCATTTAACCCTGTTATTATTATGAAATAAATACATACATAATTTTAAGCATTAAATTTTTCATTTTAGCCACTTAGTCCCAATTTAAAGAAAAATGTGAGGTATAAACAATATATTATTTAATACATATTGTTCACAGTTCCCCTCGCTTTCCTTATCTGACATACTTTAGTTGCCTAAGGAAGTTGTTTATAGTTGCTTTATCACATTTTATACTACACACATTATCAGTATAAACAAGCCAGTTAATCATTATAGCCATTTAATACCTACGCACATACATGTCGTCGATTTAATTTCAAACGTCAATTTTAATTTATTAGATAAAGTGCTTACAAAAATAAACTTACATCAATGGATAAATTCAAGGGGAAAAGAATACTTGTAACTGGTGGTTGCCAAGGTAAGCTTATACAGGATGTATTAAAATGGAGGATTTTTAAATTTTTCATTTCCCACTTATTGTTGACGATCGATCGATGTGAAAGATGGGAATACTTAATCGTATTTTTTTCCATTAATTAACAGGTATAGGTAAAGGCATAGTAACGGAATTATGGAGACAAGGTGCAAGTGTAGTTGCTCTTTCGAATCAGCCTGAAAATCTACAAAAACTTAAGAATGAGTATCCATCTGTGGAAATTGTTAATGTAGATCTTCGAGATTGGGATCAAACACGACAAGTTGTAGAATCTTTAGGAGTCTTCCATGGAGTGGTTAATAATGCTGGAGTGGCTATTATAGAACCATTTTTAGAAAGTAAACCTGGCAGCTTTGACTTGTAATTATTATGTTTCTATAGTACATTTTTATTAATCTTTATGCAGTCACCAAAGATTGTTTCATAACTTTCAGGACTATGGATTTTGTTAAAGCAATGCTTAATGTTAGTCAAATTATAGCCAAAAAGATGATTGACAACAAAATAAAGGGATCAATCGTAAACATATCCTCACAAGCGTCTATGGTAAGCTTTTTCAATTCAAAATGTTTCAATCCTAAAGAATTAATGCCTATTATTACGTGATAATCTTATCAATTTTAGGCTGCACTAAAAGACCACGTCGTTTATTGTGGATCGAAAGGTGCCATAGATGCAATGACGCGCGTTATGGCTTTAGAACTCGGTCCACACGGTATTCGAGTGAATACGGTAAACCCGACAGCCGTCATGACTGATTTAGGTCGCCAAGTGTGGGCTGACCCTGCCAAATCGTCACTAATGCTGTCGAAAATACCACTGGGCAGGTAAATCATAAGTTTAATACATAATTCAATGTCAGCATATGAATGTATTATTTTGGTATTTAATTATTATTTTTTCGCAGATTTGGGGAAGTTCATGAAGTAGTGCATGGCGTACTCTTTCTCTTAAGTGATGGCGCCAGTATGATCTCCGGGGCACAGTTGCCGATCGATGGAGGTTTTCTCGCTACCTAAATCTGGATATTCATTGAAAAACTAATAAACACCTAATCTTTTATTTTACTCAGTTTATTGTGCCAAAGGAATTAATACATACTGGACATAGGAAACAATGCAAGCATAACAATTTATATATAATGCGTATTATGCTAAAGTAGGCTAGCATAAACGTATGTTCAAAGAGAAAATATACTATGGTAAGGTAAATTAAAATGTAACACATTGGTATTTCTAGAACATGTAAAAGTTCCACAATCATCCGCAGTTTACTCATTCAGAGGAAAAGAACGCACTCGAAACTTACTTAAAATTTAGAATTTACGATATTATCCAATAAAAGCCAACGATCGTTTACTAAATTCCTTACTCATTCTACGACTACAATTTGCGTTCATTCCCTCCTTGGCAACGAGTAGACTGTCGGCCGAATAGGGGATATTTGAAATTCATCAAGTAAGAATATCAATCGGTACGCGCCACGCAGCTACACAAGACCCAATAAAAGGTAGGCGTAGAATAACAGCAAATCATTTGAATGACATTAACTCTACAACAGTTATGTATTTATTTTCATTATCTATGATATTGTAAAAAACAGTGTGTCGGCCTTATCTTAATACCTTACAATTATTATATACAAAATTAAGTCCATAAAGTCTTTCGTCGATTAGAGCATACATTTAACGTTAGGAGCAAGCCACGACCTTCCTCGCCACAAGCGTTTGTAATACATTTGTAACACGACACTCCGCCTTCGCACTGCACACTACACTTCCGAACGACTCGACACTAAAACTTCACTACCGTAAACTTAACTAATGCAACGTCATAAGAATTAGTAACACAATATAGGTACCAATATAATATTTTTGGATATTAATCATATGATTACGGGTAAATAACTAAAATCATAATCGAGTTCCTTGCGTATCAATATCAATATTGACGGCGGAGAATATGATTATAATAATTAACTAAACATGACAAATGAACTGTATTGTTATAAGAACACTGATATAGTTATAGATGATGACTGCGAAATGCTACAAAATACCCTGTTGACTATACAACTTATTAATTTGTTTCAACTAATAATTAAGTGCAGTCACTTAAAACTTGGGTAGGAAATATAAATGATAACAGTTTCAAAATAACTATACACAATTTCGTAAATATAAATAAAATAAGCCTATTTTGCTTATTTTTGACAAAATTAACTAAAGTATGAATATAAAAATAACTACTAATATGTATGATGTATCGTGACAACAAGATGATTATATCAACCCCAGAGCGTTTTCAAAACAAACCCTTAGTAAAAAATTATATCATTTATACAAAAATTGAACCTAATTCTCAGTCATATTAAGAGAAGGATAGTCCATTCCAGTCAAAAGGTGACGCCGAACAAACCAATCATCTAGTTCCCTATATGAATGTTCCCCACATTTCAAGTTTTACATTGGAATATTTACAGAATGTTATCAACAAATGTTATTAGTAGCAAGTTTCGCTTAGGTTCCACGTTATGGAATAAACTAAAAATAAGAAACGAGTTATAATTGCAATTATAATTATACCTCGTGTTAGATGAGACATGAAATGGTAACCAATTACAAAATATATTGATACAACCCAACTAAGCAGTCATATTAAGTTTACAAAATATGAAAATTTGGTAAATTATATGAGATCATAGTTAGCATGAACAGAAAAGTGATAAAGGAAAGAATTTACGGGAATGTGTTTGTCTAGAGTCAGAGTGATAACTAAAACCAGATAAGTTCTTTAGAAACACAATCTATTTTCAAAAAAGAATGTTACATTCCCATTCAAGATCTTCGAGCTCAATTATGACAATTTCCTAAACGTTATATCTGATTTAATTAGCAAACTTACCTAGTTAAAACTATGGCAGTGGCTGGACAATTTATTTTTTATACGGATTGGCAATAATTACATCAAGCCTGAACAATGTTTATTTAGATAAAATTTTAGTCGCCATTCCATGAATAAAATATGGAAGACAAAATATTAACAAAATCACACTTAACCGCATTAAAACAGTTTGAAAAAAGAAATGAAGAAATAATATTGCACAATACATTATATGCCAACTAATTTACATGCTAAAGTTCTGAATCAGAGACTCAACAATCATCAGTTGTCACAGTCAATCTATTAAATATGAAAACAAAATGGCAATTAGGAAATGCACATGGCATATTAAATAGCCAGTAGAAATATTTAATTGCAAAAACCGTCTTGTGGTAAATTTAATTTACACTCTTCTATTTTTTTTTAATGATTTCTGTACAAGCATTTGTGAACTTTCATGATCAGCCCAGCAGTCACAATTTTGAAGAGAAATGTAAATTAAATTCAACAAAGGACGAGATAAATGATAATTTTGTCAGTATGATTCATTTCTATGTCTAAATATAACTGAGCATAAAGTACAATGGATGCACGGGCAGGCCTAACAGCTATGCTTAAATGAGTCACATTAAAAACAATGAAAACGTCAATTTTACCTAGTTCTCGGCCCACTCACGATCTTAGTCTAAAATTAAATAATTTACAATACATATGAACGTTAACGTGAATGCATACAAAATTCCTTAGTTTTACAGAAATCGCATTCCGAGCGGGGAGGAGCGTCGCGGGACGCCCGCGCTCGCATCAATTCCGGATCGATCGACGCGCCGAAGCCGTCGTCGACAACACCATCATAATACGTGGATATACCGAGTCTGTGGGACGTCCGCTCGAGCGGACAGATCGCGGAGGTCACAACATGAACAGGGTCCTACGACGGGGCCTCCCTGCGGCGCCGCGAGCCGCCTCACCGCCACTCCGAGATGGCCGCCACCGTCGTGCTGGGCTGCCCCGCCGCGCCCGCCGCTGCAACAATAAATAAATTCAATAAAATGCTATTTATTTCTCACCACAAGTAGATGCAATATGCTTACAATCTTCTATATATATAAAAGAAAGTCGTGTTAGTTACACCACTTATAACTCAAGAACGGCTGAACCGATTTAGCTGAAAATTGTCAGGGAGGTAGTTTAGAGCCAGGAGAAGGACATAGGATACTTTTTATCCCGTTCGAAATAAAAAAAAGTCTGCTTATTTATTGCCATTAAGGCGGAACAAAGTTCGCCGGGTCAGCTAGTTAGGTATAAACTAAATACATGTAACTTGTTTGTGGAGACTGGTGATCTATGGTAAGTAAAAGATACTTGTGTTACACCAGGTCTTACTTATAAATACTTATAAGTAGGATCTTTTTTAAGTATTTTAATGATTAGTTTTTTTTTTATAAAAAGGTCCTCTTTCTCGTGGTACGATAACTTATTTAACCATCTATAAAGTTTCTTTACATTCGTGCTTGTTTTTAGGGTAAATAATAGTAACAAAGCATTAATTTTATCGTAGTTTAGGTCCTTGCGTATAACACGCGTTACACACTTATCCATCGAATACACATTGGATTCTCAACTGATAAATTCAGTTGGGTCGTGTATAAGTGCCCTGAAAAAGGCCTGCATAAAGAATTCGTTTTGATTTGAGCTACTGGCACTATTACTATCTTGAATCCTATATTGGCTATATAGGCTAATCCTATATAGCCAGGATCAACAGCTTCGTTACTATCAATAAAACTAAGGTTAAACTATTAACTGTGTCAATAATATTCTTCTTGAAAAACTATCAGTTTGTCTGGGATTTTTTTTAAAATTTTAAATCAAAGCCACGATTTTATTTGAAGTTGAATACTAAATTATGTTAGGCTGGTTTTAGTGTCACGCGGACCGTCCGGTGCGGACCCGCTCCCCACGGCCAATCTGTATGAACTTCTAGGGAGCGTTTTAGAGTAATGCGGTCCGGAGGAACCGCTCCGCTCCCTTACAGTTCATACATATCGGCTGTGCGGAGCGATCCGTACTGACAGTCCGCGTGACACTAAAACCAGCCTTAAACTGAAAGGATCAGCAACAAGATCCAGTCAGTAAAAACACAAAAAAACACATGATGTCGTATAATGACCTCTAATCTCGATTAGAGGACATAACACACCTAAGGTGACGTTTGTTTTAATAAATATGATAAACTATTTATTACCAATCACTTACTAGTTTCCTGTTCTTGATTTTGTTCGTGGCGCCTGAGCGTGCGGTCATTTGCGCCGGACTGGTAGTTGCCTCGTTGACCACCTGTAATTGATCATTAGCTTGCAATCATCATATCATAATGCCTTTATTTTAATGACTTCTCAATTTAAACCATAAGGAAATGACAATAAGGATCTATTATTTGATGTCAACTAACAATAAATAGATATAATTTATATAATGCTATAAATTATGAATACCAAAAACAGTAACTTGCTCAAATGTAGTTTGTGTAAAATAAATATTTACCATTATCACAGTTTTATTTGAGGCACATCTTGAATTAATAGGCAGTGCGAGACGCAGTCGCTAACTACTACGCGTCACGTGTCGATAAACGTGCCGCGCATAACCTTAAGGGACGTCGTGGTTACCAAGATGTATCTATGCTTAAATACGTATGGACTGGGGTTAGGACACCACCAGTCAATTGTTAGATTAATAATAAAGCCTTTAGACCAAGGCTGCTCAACCTTTTGAAGAGTCGGGCCAAACGGTGGATTCAGTCGTTAACGACGGGCCACCTACATTTTTGACAGCTAACTTCAAAGAGATCTTAGTTTGTACCGTGCTCGGCGGGCCACTTAAAATTCTTTTGGGGGCCACACTGTGGCCAGCGGGCCTGGAGTTGAGCAGCCTTGTTTTAGACGAAAGGCATGAAATTCCTTAGAATCACAGGCCAAAATAGTGTCATCCATCTACACAAAAGCAGTTTTTTTTTTCATTTAAAGCTTTTTTAACCTTTAACTATGGACGTGAAAAAAAAATCGCACTCCCATGGACGTCGGGTCTCACAGACCCCTATCTAACATTCTTCTTATTTTCATATCTGAATCAATTTGAATTTATTAAAGAGTTGATATATATCTAATAACTATTAATAAAGGATTTAGTAGTAAATGTAATCAAATTTTAACCATAATTTAATTATTTTTTCGCAAATTTAAAAAACTTAGACATTTTTCAGTGTAAATTGACTTGCCACCACATATAGGCTCCTTGATTACAGTCGATCATTAATAAATGAAAGTAATATTTTTTTCTTTGCTAATTAATAACCATGTAACATAAAAACAAACAGAATTTCTGAAGGACATAAAAATTTTGACAAGGGTTAAAGTTACTAAAATTAAACACAGTGGCCTAGAACACTAAAGACAAATTATTTCTACAGGCATATGTTATCTTTCTTTGAGAGCTTTAGTAGGCAAAATGTACACCATTCAGAATCGGAATCTGCAGCAATAGTAAATTCTAAGACATCTAAACTCAAAAGCAGAATCGTCTACAAGTAATACCTTACTCCTGAAATGTTCTTTAGATAGTTGGGCTAATAATATAGCTGATGTACTCAGATACTTTCTGCCATTATGTATTCTTAAACTAGAACAATTTACTTAAGATTATAATAATATAATATAAAAAATTATAGTTGACAAGTCACATACATACAAGTATGTTTGTATGGAAATTATAGTCATCGGGTCTCCCAGACCCGGACAAAATTTTGAATGGTTATTACTCACGTAATAAGTGCCGGAAGATGCGATTTTATGCCTCCTCAGTCCAAACACAGTTAAAACTGAAGCTACTGAGATGGTCGAGAGCAACCCGTGGCGGGAAGGTGTTTAAACCGAGAAATCGGAAAGGGGGGTGGGCCTCTGAGACCCGACGTCCATAGTTAAAGGTTAAATCAATTTCACTCTTCTTGGGAAACAAAACTGGTCATTGAGCCAGTATAAACAACCAGATTTGCTTTGGTAAATACAAGCTGTCTATCTGCAGTTATTTGTTTTTAATATCATCTAAATAAATACATACCAAACTTGAGCATATTCCAGTCAAAGACGTAGTCATAAGTGAATCCTTGTCGATGGAAGAGCGTGCGGAACAGTTGACGCAAGTGACTGTAGTCTGGGCGCTCTTCAAAGCGCAACCGTCGGCAGTACTTTAGGTACAACTGGAACTCGATTGGGTGGTTCTGTAATGACAAAAGTGCTTTATTTTAACCAAATGTTTAATGATAAATTAATTAAATTTAAAAGAACCAAGTAAAAATGTACTTTCAGAAAAAAGGCATTGTTTGAATGTGTCATAATTAAAAAAAAATACATCCCTGATAAGAATCAATTCAAGTTTACGTAATGATGTTTTTATGACTCTCATCCCAGACAAAGAAAACTTATTATACAGTAGAACAGTCATACATTGTTACTGTGTAGTAAGTTTATTTACTATCTGTAACTTTGCTTAAAAATAATTATTATTGAAATGTTTGAAAGACAACTCATTGCCAAACCAAGTACTTACTTTACAAAGTTCATCAAATGGTGTGGATAATTTTTTCTCAGATATTCTTTCATATTTCTGACGTTTGGTAACAGCCTTGAGGCCTTGCCATGGTAAACTACCACGGTTGAAATACATCAGCACATAACCCAACGATTCCAAATCATCGCGACGAGATTGCTCAATGCCTAAATGAGTGTTCACTGAAGCATATCTTGCAGTACCTGTAATAGTTTAAAAAGTGATGGTTTAAGTAGGTGATTCTGTCTTGATTGTTAGAAAATGTATCTCTTCAGTAAATAAAAAGAAAAATTAGTCCACCTTATTCAGATATACATAGATATAATTGTCAGGAATGTGTAAGCCCAAATAATACAATTGGTATTATTGGGATTATCAAAGCAAGTTTATTATTTACTAAATTAGTACAAACAAATTGTTTTGTTGTGTATCTTACCTGTCAAATTTTTGTTTTCTCTGTATGGAATATGTTGCAATGTGCGAGGATCTTTGTACTTCTTTGCTAAGCCAAAATCTATTATATACACTAAGTTTCCTTTTTTACCTAAACCCATAAGGAAGTTATCCGGCTTGATATCTCTGCAAAAATAATAACAAGTTATGAATATAATAATGATAATTATATGCTATTAATTGGACTGCATTTAGGCAATTTATTTACTGTGTTTAGCAATATATTATTTTTAAAAAGAAATACAGCAATTAGATTTGCATTTCAGTCATGATAAACTTCAAAGATAATTTACAGATAAGTCACTGCCATAGTGATGTTCTTATCTCTGACCTTACAACCTACATCAACATGAAATGCTATTACTAGACTTAATAACATACCTATGGATAAAGTTTCTGTAATGTATGTCCTCAATGCGGGTGATGAGCTGGTCAGCTAACAGGAGCACAGTCTTGAGGGAGAAACGGCGAGAACAAAAGTTGAAGAGGTCTTCCAATGATGGTCCTAGGAGTTCCATTACCATAACATTGTAATCCCCTTCTGATCCACACCATTTTATAGCAGGGATTCCAACTATTGAAACAAAAGAGATATCTTATAAATAACACAATTACACATTCATTCTAATTGAAATGTCTTTTACTTCATCAAGAAGTGTGAAACATGTTACAGGCAAGAATCCCAAACTTCATTGTGTATGTAATTTCAGGTAATGTTGACTAATCTTTTGTTAAATGCACAATAACGTCTGCTAGTAATTATCACATTATTTTTAACTAATATCGGCCCTTTACATCACAAACAGGTTGTTTAGCTAACCTAATAAATTTTAAGGAATACTTACCACCCCCTTGCATCAATTTGTAAAATTTGCTTTCTATGTGCAGTTGTGGGTGCCTCGTTTTTATACATTCTAATTTGATAGCTACCTCCTCTCTTGTCACAATGTTGGTTCCTGGAATACAAAATACACTTTGGTTGAGAATAGATTCGTGTACAAACTTCCAATTGCAATGGGTTATGGTCTTGAAGGCAAAAATGAACCAAATTCCACATACACATAACAAGTTACACACAAAGCATTCAACTGGCCCAATTAACAAATAAAATGAGCAATGTGTGTAGGACTATCGCAGAATACCACGCTCCTGACACAAAAAGTAGATATTTCGAAACAAAAAAATCGCAGCTGGCCTACAATAGTGACCATCTTTCTTTGTTTACAATCGTCTTGGACCTTACTCACCGAGATATATGTCTCCGAAAGATCCTGAGCCAATTTTACGACCCAGTCGGTATTTATTACCGACACGAAGTTCCATTTTGATAGTTTCTAGGAGATGAAATCACAATAATATCACTGACCACCGATTCATTACAGGACGGCCATATTGCGATAGACGCAGATCTCTATTTGGGCGAACTCTATAATTTTGGGTGGAATTTGTTAAAACGCCTTGTGTATTGCAACGCCCTATGACTTGTAACTTGTGCACTTAAACTATTATTCACAAAAGCTTCGTTATTTACTTAAAATCAAGAAATTTGATAATTTATTCTAGCTACACACGCACATGAGGAATTTTTTCGACAGATCGTTCAAAAATCATGGATAGAAAATGGGAGTAATGTCATTATACGTTCCTGGCAACACCGGCACTACTATCTTTTTTTAAAAGTGTTAAGGCAGAGGATTCATGCTATTTAAGCCACACAAATTCAACTCATTGTTGATAATATTCATTGAGCATTATATGGTTGGCTGATATTAATACGGGTCTCCAGCGTGTGTTTTTCCCTACATGATAAAAAAACAGAGCCCCGATTACGGTAACTTTTAACGTCAACAATCCAGACACGCTTCTCGATTCTGCGATACGATTGGTCGTTCAACAGCATACGTCAGCTGTTTTGACCAATCGTATTGCAGAATCAGAAACGCGTCTGGATTGTAGACGTTAAAAGTTACCGTAATCGGGGCTCAGAACATATGATAGGCGATTTTGTTGACTGTTGATATGTTTTTGTTGATTGTGTAGAGCAAAACACACGATGAAGACCAGAGCCCCGATTACGGTAATTTTTAACGTTTCCAATCCAGACGCGCTTCATCGATTCTGCGATACGATTGGTCAAAACAGCTGACGTACGCTGTTTTGATCATTACGCTGATCCGTAATCGGGGCTCAGACTTTAAACAATATCGAGATCTTAATCTTGGTTCATCCGAAAGTCTAAAATTGTTGTGTGTATGTTGCCCAATAGACGTTTTATAATACTATTATTGTGATATACACATGTAGTGCGCACCAACCTTAATTTACGCCACACCGGAGCTGAGTAATAAAAAAAATCCTCTTTACACTTTTTTATTAGCACAGTGCAGTTTGTGGTTGCCAGTGTTGAGGGATTTTTAATGCTCTATTTATCCACATTTAGCTTTCCCGCCAAAAAGTCTTGGTTTGAAATTTTGACCTACACTACAGGTTGCCTGGATTCACCAGCTAGTCCAGGCTACTACCTACCTGTGTTACTACCTACTACCTACCTGTGCTACTACCTACTACCTACCTGTGCTCAGGGCCGCGCCGCCCCTGTGTGCGAAGTGTGCGGCGCACACAGGCGCCAAGACAATAGGGGCGCCGCGCCGCTACTGCCACCTAATTTTTTTAATGTAGTATCGATAAGTAAGTAGGTACAGTATGCGCAACATAGACCTTGTACACAACAAAACAAATATTACGCTTATTAAACAAGTCTCTCAATATTTATATTATTATGTTTATTACCCTTACCCATGTGACATGCAATAAATAATTTGAATTTGAATTTGAATATGATTCACGTTTATAGTTTCATTTTACGCTTAGGGTTTTAGTTTACATTACTTACGAGCTCAACGTTAAAACGGCAGCAGTTCTTTTGAACCGTAGAGGCGCCGAGTTTGTAATAGGTACTTACAAGTTTTTTATGACTATGAGTGAGTTTATGAACGCAACCCGATGCGATGCGTGCGACATAAGCGGGATGGGGTCACGGGGATTTTGAATGACGAGATAGCCAAGCCAAAACCACAATATACAGGGTGTTTGGCGGAAGGTTAGACAAACTTGGTGGGTGTATAGGTAAGGTCATTTTAAGAATACAAGTTCGCCCAATTTACCCTAAAGTATTTTTCACGTAAGATGATCCGTATGACACTTCAAGGTTATCCATATTACGCATACTACATATTTTATATGCAGAATATTTTTGAAAAAATATTTGTATTTTATTAGCAATATAATAGAAAAAAAATTAACTGCTTGTCTTGAAATATATAGTAAAATCTGAGTATATTGATTATATTTTAATTAAATACGATGTAAACATATTTTTTATTTAATGTACGCAATGTGTGAAACGGAATAGATTTAGTGCTGGGATATTTGTTGTTTAACAAAATCGATTATTTCCGCGGTTCATTAATCGATTGCAGTGAATACTTAGTTATTAAAAACATCACAAAAATCAACTATATTTTTCGATCGTTGACTTTAATAAACGCATTGAAAATAAATTAATAGTTTTTAATTTAAAGAAACAGAACCAGGACTTTTTAGGAATCGTATTTTTGAACACGAAGTCCATGGAATTTGAATATTATCAATAAAAAATTGTTACAATAATATTTGTAATTAAAAAAACATGTTTTTTGTTAAATAACACCTATACAAAATAATATTTCTCTAAAAGTAGGTTTTACTAGCTCTTAGAAAAAAATCGATAGATAAATTGCTATGGTTTAGTTAGACATCTCTATAACTTTCAAACTCGAAACGTCATACGAATCATCTTAGGTGAAAAAGACTATAAGTGAGCTACTTTTTAGGGTTCCGTGGCCAAATGGCAAAAAACGGAACCCTAATAGATTCGTCATGTCTGTGTTTTTTTATGACGATTTATTAGAAAAGAGGCGCTTCATAGATTCCGCACACAGGCGCTGCCGGTGGTTGGCGCGGCCCTGCCTGTGCTACTACCGAGCACTACTTGCGAAGTAGAGATGCTGCTAATAAGTGGAGTCCTACCTAAGTAGTTACTTAGTTGTCGTCAGCAGTTGCCATCCACCAGAAACATTTTTCCAGGGGCAAATATGTTGCCAAATACATTTTCATAATATTACTAGTTTTCCGCCCGCATCTTCGCCCGGGGTTTTCCTTCCTTTTTAAAAAAAGTTTTTTTTTATTATAATTTTATTTTACACTTTTTAGTTGTAACTATCTCAATATCTGGGCCTGGTCATCATTTAAGTGCTCGGGAAGTCGAATTCAACGAACCCAAACTAGATAAGTTTCCGCCGTTTCGTTTAGGAGTTCCTATGGCCACCTCCTGACTCCATCATCAGACCCGCTCAATGGTACCATAATATTGCATTGTCATCGTACTTACATAAGTATACCAAATTTCAGCTCAATCGGTTGAGGAGAACTGGTCTTAAATTCAGTTGCAAGATTTGTCCCACACATACTAACAAGTGAAGTCAATATAAAGCTTGTAAAAAAGAATTGGTAAAATCTGTCCAGGCGTTGTTGAGTTTTATTAAGCGCTTATCAACACATTTTGCATTTTTATATTATGTATAGACTTACCTAAAAACAAGTCGGTCAGGCGAGACTGTTTCCAACGCTTAATTATTTGATCTAATAATTAATTATACCTACCTTTAGAGAAAAGACAACCAAACTTACTCACCAACCCCACCAAGGATATTGTGCGGGGATCGAACCCGTGACCTCTGGCGTAGTAACAACCAGTAGGTAGGTAATCTTTTTAAACTCATTTAATAAAAACAACGTTTAAATTGCACATTATTTATATTTTGTTATACTTAAATAACAGGAACGATAACATCAATAAAATTCTAATAACATCCACATTGTAATTGAATAATATCTGAATTATTTGAATTCCTACTTATTAGATTTCTTATTTTATTCTACAAAATAAGTAATTGGGTATCACTTCAATTATAAACAATCTGTTACTATAAGGGAGGGTCCAAAGTTATTTTCATTATTTCTTCCTCATAAAATGTCTTACTATTGTTCTAATCACACGTATGCTGTACCTCTAGCATGAACAGCTTTCGTCTTCGAATCGTTTGCGTACTCGATAAAATTCGATACTCAGTCTTCGAATTAAACAATAACGTGACAATTTTGATTCTCAAAATAAGTTTCGTGCAACCACATCTCATATTAAGTTCACTTTACGACACGTTCACAAGGGCGCTGTTGTAGTTTTCTTACTAAATCTTTTGATGGCGATTCGAGTACGCAAACGATTTGAACTCGAAAGTTTTTCGTGCTAGCCGTACTGTACTACTTTTTAAACTTTCTTAAACCATTTTAATAACTTGACTTATGATGTTTGTTTGAGATAGTAGACACAAACTACGTAATAAGTACAATAATGACCATGTACTACTTAAATAACAAACACATTTAGTTATTTAAGTTTTGCAATTCGAAAAATGTTTTATTTGAACCTCATTAGTTTTAACTTATGATGATAACGAAATGTGATGCAAAATCATGGACAGGAGGATATGAAACTTATTACAGTTTCCATTTTAATTAAAATAACACTTTAATGACCTTAGTAATAGACTGTAACAAAAAATAATAAATGTCCATTTAAATCTTACGAAGGGGTAACTCAAACTTTCAAACTATGATTTTTTTAAATACCTACTACAAACTACACTGCCTAAAATATTTATGGTAACTATAAATTGAGATTTACTTAGTATTTGTATCAACATAACTTTCGTGACTTAATTTTATGAGTTAGGAATTGTCACACAATCGCTTTGATGATCAGTTTCTTTTAATTGACGATTAATAAGAAAATTACCCATTGATATCTTTTAATTCCAACATAAAAAGTAGTAAGATACCTAAGTCATAGTACAAAAAATCTTATTTACAAAACAATTCTATAAAAGTAGTTTATAATAATCAAGATAGCTATTGAAAGAATTGACGGATCAGGAAAAAATATGCAGATATCTTTATTAGATACCTAAGTACCTTTGGCCTTAGAATAATAATACAAAAAAAAATCTAAGGTAGTTTTATAGATAAGCTAGAAGATTATTTCGTAAAGAGCCCTGGATGATTCGAGGGATTTTTTTCAATGTAGGTATGAGAAATTATATTTAGATGGATAAAAAGACAAAAATATCAATAAGTAAGTCTAGTTTTTGATCATTATCAGTTATGTATTTTGTCATTTTTTTATACCGAGATGAATGCGTATTTTTTTAGTCAAATGGGCAGTACTATATCATTACTTCAACCAAAACGACAAAAAAGAATGACACGAGCCGAAAAAATAATAATTTAAAAGGGACTAGTTCTTAAATAAACTAAAAATAAGTAGGTGCCTAGCTCTACTTCACGACAGATTCATTATAAATGGCCAGGAGACGTACTGGTGTAAGTACAGGAATTTGAAATAGGTAGGTTCATGGACTGACTTTAATTGACTGAAAGGATTGACTTTAATTGAAACATTATTGAAATGCCTTATTCATTCCTGATACAACTTGATGCCAATTATCTTCTATTCTAATAAATTACAATTTTCTTACATGAGCAATGAATTTGATCCTAAATGTTGGAATGATGTAAGAAAAGGCAAGAGAAGTATCAGTACTTATGCCTGCAAAGGCAAAGTGTATGTTTCGTACGGCTCCTGCTGCTGCCTTCTTAGGCAGTTACTGCTGGTTGCGGTCGCGGCGCATCCTTTCCCGGTCGCACACTGCGCAGGAGTCGATGCGGACGCGCTCTTCGCCAACACGCTGTCAGAGGCTGTCTTGCTCCGGCGTTTCTACGAGATCTTCATCATCAGAACTGTTGTTATTATTACTTTCACGCATCATCATGAATACTGGTTCGACGTTCTCATCATCGGCCGTGAATCTGGAATTTGAAAAAAGTAATGGTTTAGTTTCATCTAATAAACTCGTCCTAAAATGCGGTTAAAATATTAAATCGAAATACTTGTCATACATGTAATCCATAAAGAATTCTGGCTGGACTCAGTTTTCAGAGAATTTGAAAACCTCATAAATTTTAACTGAACATTTTCTTACAGTAGGTAGCTCTTAGTTAAGTAATAGTCTTTCTTTCTTTCTTTACTCACCGATAGCGAGGTTCTTCGCCTCTCATCGAGCACACGGCGTTCGTGAGCGCTTTCACATAATTTTTGGCAAGAGTTAGGGTTTCTATTTTGGACAAGCTTCGGTTGTCCTTTTTAACATGAGGTATAACACGCCGTAGATCCTGTAAATTAAAAAAAACCTTACAAAAGTGTGGCAGCGTTGACAAAAATGTATAGTCTATATTAGATGATTTCAATTTCGCACTGTATAATTTAACACAATATTATTATGTGAACTTGTTTTTGTACATAGGTACCTCAAATGCACGATTCAGGGAATGCATTCGCATGCGTTCGCGCTCGTTGCTCTCGAGGCGGCGAATGTTCCGCTCGCGAGCGGACACAGTGCAGCGGCGGCGACGACCAGGGCCGGTGCTGCTAGTGGCTGGAGCCGTACTGGCGGCGCTGCGCCGGCTGCGGGTGACGTGCCGCGGCGACTCCTCGCTGTTGCTACTGCTCGCTGCAGGACTGCCGCAGAAATCTGCAATAGGGAATATACAAGGTTTTTTATTTCTCATATTTCAGTAGTTAAATCATTATCAAATCATTCAGTGCTTTTCTGTAATAAAGTTCTCAAAATATACCTACCTAAGATATCTAGACATGAGAAATCTCGTGACGTCCGATATACAATGGTCGCTCCCTTTTTATAAAAAAGAGATTTTCAACGACTGTAAAAAGTGTTTTAAAAACGAAATATTTTAAAACGTAGGCAACTGAAATTTAGGTCAGAGCCAATGAGGCATCAGATCTAGGTAAAATCGAATAAATGAATAAAATATTGCACATTGCCGGCAAACGTTAACTTCAATCAAAATGTACTGGGTGTAAACAAAACAACATAAGATCCGCAAAAACTTGACTAAGTAAGTAAAAACGTACCTACATTCAAAGTAGTAAAACACATTCACTAAGTAAAAAAATCGCTGAATTGTTGCAGTTGCGGACAGAGCATGCTTATTACATTGAGGACTGAAAAAAGAAACAAATAAAAGCTTTGGGCTTTCAGTTTGAAGAAAAACCCAATTTAATGTCGAATCGCCACAGCCTCTGAGTGTACTGTAATTTTTGGTCAACTCTGTCACACCCTGTGCGCTGAATTCAGTTCGTTAAGTTCTTAACGAGTCGTTAGTAACACTAAAAGTTCGATAGTCGTCATTCTCAGCATCTTCGTCACGAATCTTAAGCAACGAGGGACCGCTCACGACGCGAAGCGAGAACGGAGCGTTTAATTTTATGCAACAAGTTGCTGCTTCGAAACCGCGGTTACGTGACGTGAGAGCACGCTTGATAAACCATTTTTGCGTAAGCGCGAGTGCAGACAGACTAATCGATTAGGCGCACGGCTATGGACGATTTGTAATGCCCTTATCTGCTTCGTGCTTTAAGATGATTTTAAATAATAATAACTATTTTTAATCACGTTCGGCACGAGTTGGTTTGGATATGAATGAAGTTTACTGCTAGATAACATTTTACACAATAAGAGATTCATCATTTTAATTACAGAGCGAATGCATACATGAGATACCTACTTAAATTCATCATATAATGAATGTCTCGGCTTATAAACTTTTGGTGGCAGAAAGTATTTTGTTTTACCTACGTCATTATCAACTTATAAATGATTATTTTTTATTTTTGGATTTTCCATACCTATTGTAAATCTTTCCCTATACCTCTACATTCAACAACGGCTTCAAAAGAAACGAAGTTTCTTGCTCTACTTACCTCCAGCATTTTCTATTTTCACATCCACGTCAACGTCAACCTTGTTAACGTAGTATTCTGAGGGCTCGTCGTAATATAGCATTAACTTCCCCGGAGATTCAGCTTCTGACCCCCCACCGCCTTCAGCACTGGCCCACTGAGGCATTTTCTGATCTGAAAACAAAAAAATATCTTATTCACAGTTCACATTAAAATACCCGTTTCAGGACGCGTTAATGTGTTGCATCGAAACACTGGTATCTTCAGAATAAATAGGACAGTATGAGCCATGTCAGACACAACAAAATTAGAGGAAAGGAGGAAGCAGCATCAAATAAGTATTTTGCGAGTATTAAATGAAGAAAAATCATCCATGTTTTGTCTTGAGTTCGCTCACAAAACGTCTCTACATGAAAAGTTTTCCAAATCTATTAATTAATAGTTTATGAAAATAAATTATAAATGAATCTAAGTACCTATGATCAAGTATAGCTGGTAGCACAAATTGTTTCAAAATCATTAACACTACTTGCCTAACCAGTCGGTGCGGTATAATTTGTAATTAACTTTTACTTCATAGTTGAGCAGAAAGGCAGAAATAGAACACTGCACCAGTGACAATTTAAAATCAAAGCTACTTTGTTGTAGCAACTTCAATTTAGAGAAATCGAGTTGATCCCAAGTAAAAACTGTACTTAGAGGTAAATAAATAGATGAGAAGTACTTATATCTAGACGAATCGTTAAAACATAAATGTAGAGTGAGAGATCCTGACATTTTATGCTGGAAAAGTGGTAATAATAGTTTTTTTTACTTATCCATTATATGGGTTATTTACTGTTTACTTTTCACATACTAGGTTATATCAATGGCAAGTCCTTAAATAATTGTGGGATGTAATGTTTATATCTTTTACAGGCAGTAATTTCTATCGAAAATAATTAAATAATGTAGTTACCAAAAGTTACTTAACTAGGTACTTAAGATTGTGAGATAGAAGTCTTTTTTACTCTCGATTCAGGGATAATCAACTACTAAACCCGTAGAAATAAATAAAATACTGAGTACGTACTTAAAAACTTAATGCACATTATCTTTTCGATTACCTTGATCTTCAAACATTTCAAAATGCATAGGTATATTTTAACTTCACTTGAAAACCGTATAAAAATCGTTACATTAAAATTAAAATTCATGGTTAAAACAACATGTGATGAATTTAACGTTAGTTTGATAGGCGTGTCGGGAAACTAATGAAATACGTAGACCTGAACAAACCGTGTTTTATACTTTTCAGGAGTAATACCGAATGTTATTATTCAATATTTTATTACTTACCTACATTTGAATTAGCTGATGTTGCATTTTAGTTAACAACAACTGCGTGAAAATGCAACGATCAATATTACTATATTAGCAGTTACACATGCTGAAATCAAGTGTATTACCTATTTTATTCCTAATAACAACAACACTACAAATTATAATTTAGTATGTAATCAATATGTAATATGTAGTTTGACTAATTAATTACGTTGCTTCCCAAGCCTACCAAATAAATAGCATTTAATTATATTACTAAATCAGTTAAAAACATGTCTTCTTTAATTGTTGTAACTAACATGTACGAGTAACTAAGATAATAGAGTTGAAACTTGGGCGCCATTGGGTCGGCAAGTGACAGCGGCGGGCGCCCACTCGGCGCTCCCTGCCGCTCACTTATGAATCCGTCTCAATATTTAATATAGCCCTTGTGATGAGCTCTAACAAACAATTAACATCAATTTAGGCCATCAACGATAAAATGTTTTCAAAGCTACGAATATCCTGAAAGCTTCGGAGCCATACTACGACACTTATCACGCACGGATAAAGTGCTACAGCCACTTGCCACGTCACCGTATTCGTAGCACGCGTTGCTACGAATGATGAAACTCGAATTACAAAATTAGATAGGTACTTAATTGTTAAGATAACCTGCTGTTAACAACAACCTGCTCAAATGAAAATGCATTCTAATATAATCGTATGTAAGTCTGTAAGTCTTCGCCAAACGTCGTTTTGTTTTGATTAAAACAAAAGTACAAAAAAATATTGTTGCATTTTCAACAAATCAAATGAGGAACTAATTTATGTAGTCAAAAATGTCGTGAAATTAACAAAACCGTGTTTGTGCCCAACAACCGAGTGCAACTGTTGTAAGTGGGCCAGCCCGCACGTGTTTAATTATTCATTTTCGCGCAGGACTCCGCCTTAGCATTCAGTGTGCAATGTCGCCGGTTTCGAGTCTGGCAGTTTCTATTAGGATCATTTATAAAACATTTTGTTACTTAGTCTTACTTGTATAAATCCAAGAAAATAAGTTTGTTATGTAAAAGTTATAGATCTCATCATCATCATCATCATCATTTCAGCCATAGGACGTCCACTGCTGAACATAGGCCTCCCCCAATGTTTTCCATGTTGATCGATTGGTAACGGCTCTTTCTCGGAAAAAAGAAAACCCAAACTCCGAAGAAGGAAATAAATCTTAAAAACGTAGCTTTTGTTTGTATACCAAAATAGTAATAATTTAGGAACTCTGACATGATGAATACTACGACATTTCAGAATTTTAGTTTATATGTATGCCTGAAGCAAATATTAGTTCGACTAGTTTGCACGTGCTGAAATGTCAGCCGTGAATTACAACATCAAGTAATTTGAAATTGGTAATGCTGTACTCGTATTAGGCCTAAAACAATCTTTATCAAATGATTGATTTAAGTGCATATGCAAATAACATATCGCGTTTAATGCACGAGCTCTACTGTCGAATTCATTACCGTCATCCCACACTCAGAGTCAGCACATCAGTCACCCGACTGGATAATAAATAGTACTTACATAACTATTCGATTATGTATTATCTAAAAGTAGTAAAGGTACACCGGACATAATCATCCTCATCAGGTAATTTAGCCTCCACTGCAGGAGTACCTCCTTCTCTAAACTAGAAGCAAATGGAAAACTTTCCCTACACTGCAGAATAAGTAGGTACTTTCATCTTGTCGTATATTTGGTCTATACCACTATGATTAACTGGATTTGATCACCCAGGTGATCAAAGACCCTCAAGTTCGCCTTTTACGACCCACGGTAGAGTCAAGTGTGAGAGTGGTCCAATATCTACTCCACAACCAGAATTTATTATTATTCATATTATATTCGTAAAATAAGCACCTGTGTTTTTCTTTTTCCGGATGTTTTGTAGAGCGGTTTGGTTAACGTCATAGACTTTCGCGCATTTATCGCGGGTAGCGTGCTTGGCGCACGTGTGTTCGGATTAAATCACTTTTGTTTGTTGACAAGTTCGTTGTAACCTAATAAGAAATCTTAATAACGTATAAGAGAGACGCCTTTTAGTCTCTGTCAGTAGTTCCAAAATTTTAAAAATACTTTATTATAACACTGTATTGGTCATTTAAATGAGTGAATAAAAATGTTCACATCATGATAAGCTTAAAATAATATCCTGTAATAATCTAAGAAGACAATGAACATACATTTAAAGAAGGCAGTTAAATCCAATTGAGCCCGTATAACCCTGCAATGTAGTGTGAAAGTGCTGTATAAATTGATACCATATTATCACCATATTTTTAAACTTCAATAATACTTCGTCCAAGAAGAGCCAAGGCAAGGCTAAACGGCTTTCAATAACAATAAAATTATTCCAATGCAGACTTGATGGTTTTAAAAAAAGCAATATACTTAATAAGTATTTGCGTTCGTTGATTTACGTCAGTTTCAGCTCTACACCTGTTTTAATATAATTACATTACAATGTACGCTTTATTGTGCTGTGGTGTATCGTAAGTATAATATACATGTACATACCTTCAAAGTAAATATTTAAAGCATAAATAGGTATTGCGTCGGACGTTTATCTCTACTTTTTATTTGTATTTTGGAATTAAATTCGTATATACCTACCTATTTTGTAAGTACTTGCATATTGGTTTTATTATTTTCAAGTAAGTACTTGCGGTGCAAATAATATTAGCCAAGGTGATCTGTGAAACTACTATAAATATGAATTTATAAGGCATTAACTTTATAAATCCTTATACATTTTGGAGAATACTTAGTGTAAGTTTAAATAAGTATTAAATAAGAAACTACAGGCTACCTTCGAAGGTTAGACTACTACTGATTTGACCAATGGGCAGTTTGGTTTTAATTTTATGCAAGTTGCTACAGTGACATTGAACGCTATATCAACAGGTTTACAATCGCGATCATACATTGACATTTGCGTGACATTTCCAGCGGTAATGTCAGTAGCGCCGCGTCACGCAAGTTTTGTGCGTCCGCGCACAACGCACGGATATTGCTACGTCACTTGTACAAGTATCGAAGTTACGATGCCTAAGCAAGATATCACCCGTCTCTATCACTCGGTAAAGGCCTAACAGAGATGCTGTGGCATATTAAGCTCAACTTAAGCCTGGTGAGAGGATTTGGGCTGGACGGTGTGGCCTTCATACGAGCACTTTCACCTTGCCTGCGACTGTTACCCCACTTACGTTTATCGCTCCTATTGTTGCTCTTATTATTGCATAAATTTATCATTTTACGATACAAGTTTTAATGGCCTTGTGAATAGGAGATGATTCAGAACTATCAGTTTTATTGGTTCTTGCTGCTACGTACGCGGATGAGGTTCTTGCTTAGATAGAGCTGAATAGCAAGATAATTACTGGCATTATGTAGAAAGCTAAGAAACTTACTTTAATAAGAATATGTAGATATTTTAGCCTAATAATGTTTATTACATCTGATTATCTAATTTGGCGAGTTGCTTTATCTATTCATATATTCTGACAAAGAATGTTTAAGTGAAAGTTGTTCTTATTAGTGACTATGTATTCTTACGATATGCGGTGCCCGTACGCATGTGAATGTATGGACGTGAGTATCAATGTGCTATAATTTAAGTACACGCAAGCTGTTTTGAATGTCGCTGACAATACTTAGGTATCAGCTGGGTAAACATTAAACAATTCGATTTAATTGTGGCCGTCCGTTTGGTTTGTGCTCAAAGGTTCTGCATTAACCACGTTTGTGTGATTTTTATAAGATATTTAGACCAATAAATCATGAGAACTAATGTTAATCATTAAATTATCATGTACAGTCAAAGATTCACTGGCTTAGTTAGAATTATCATGAATCGGTATTGCTTGTTTGAGCTACCCAGTTACCTAGATTACCTTTATGTAGGTAGATGTAGTGAATGCAGTATTGAACCTGTTTCCAGGAAAACTGGGCGAGCTCAGTGCAAAGCTCCCCGGGATGCCCGGGAGCTGTAAACGCATCCTGGAATTTACACCCGCAACGTTTTGCAGAATTGTTGATACTTTCAATATGGAAACTCTATTTCTACTCTGTTGACCCAATTTTGTTGTAAAATGTAACATGTAGTCTTTATGAATGCTAAATGTAGGCACTATGCTATTTATAATTTATTTGGAACTAAATCTTCTATCGACCTCCATCACAGCGATCTAAGATAGAACGCTACTCTATCTTATTGACTTACTTAGTATAAATCTCATCACACGAGGCCTAAGCCCAGTTTAAAGGTTTATTTTCATAATAAATAAACATAATTTTGTTGTCTTAGACAAGTAAATTCAATATAACTATTAAATTGTACATATTTTTTATCGACTCTACATTTGACATTGCAATTAATTTCACTTAGTAAACTCTAATCGCACTATTAATACAAGTGTAAACTTGCCTGATAGATGGAGCTTAAAAACTGGTTTGACACTATTCTACTTCATTAATAACTACTTTTATTAAGATACTTTAAACTTAATATTTTTCTTACACGTTTTTTGTATCTAAGCATGTAATCGTGAAACGTTAATAATAGTTATTCTTTTTATTCATTTATTACATTTTATTATGTTTAAACGTGTGTCATAAACTAATGTTCAATTTGGTATTTGTCGGTGGTTATTTAAAAATAAATTTGAGTACCTAACTCCGTTTTTCTTTAATTTTCACACGTAGTGCAAAGAAAAAGAAAAAGAAGATCAATAATACAACTGCAAGGACAATGAATGATTCGCTGTGCAACTATTAGTGACAAGTTACTTTATGTGTCTTGGGTATTTTCGAACATCTTATCATAAGATTATTTTTTCCCCTGACAACTGATTTACTTTAAATAAATGTAGTAATAACCCATCCATTTCAAAAGTATTTTAAATCTACCGCAGAATACGAGCTACATTTATATTGAAAGTGAAGGTTTGACTTTCGCTGACGTTCTCAACACTATTCGTCGTCGGTTTGTTTTTTTACAATCCATTTAAGCACTTTCTATAACTAACGATAGCACCATTGATTTAAAATAGGTCGCTATTTTGAATTCGTTTTATATTTTGTTCATTCGCCAGCTATATAACAGTTACATAAAATCTTGTAAAAACTTAAAAATAAACCGTACCTAACAGTCATATACATTAATAATTGTAGAGATATACTGTAAATACTCTTCAGTATTTTATTTTAAACTCTATATTTTAAGTTGTTAGTAGAATAAGGTGTAAGTACCTACTATGTACCTACCTATTTACTTTTTATTTTGTATAACATTCTACCATTTAGATCAGCTAGCACTAGATTCTAAGATAGGCCGCGATTGGTTATTAGGAATACATTATTGTATAACCAAAAGTGGCCGCGACCTGACTACTTATCTACAAAACAATAATAAATGATAATGAGTATTAATGAGCGTAAGGACTTCCTGCCCATAATACCCGCTTAATGAAGTTCAAAGTTATAAAATACCAATTATTGTATTCCAGCCTTCATAATAGTAGTTTCAGTTCAAACCTCCTTCCAACCTAAGCCTAGTTAAGTATGTAGATGTAAAACGGATTACAGCTACAGAATTAGCTCTACAATTGGAATCCTAAATGTCATCAATATGACAGTATCAGATGATTAGGGTTCCAATCGTAGAGTTATTTATGAAAGTCTAAAAACCTTTATACTTATTGGTTCATTGGGTTATGAGGGATTATAAGACGCTTGTGAACTATTAGGTACAACATTGTAGTTGTCTCATAGAGAAAACAACGAAGATTATCGCCTTTATTAACAAACAAAATGTTTTCGAATGTGAAAATAATATTTATCATTAAAAACTTGTTATACATAAACTTGGTTGTCTACCAATATACTCGCGAGCAAATTGTATTGATTTATTGCATGCATTTTAAAAAGTGATAACATTTATCGCTCCATTCTTTGGTATCGATGTTTGACTTTGTAAATATCAGCGAACTTAGTACGAATTTGTTGTTCACATGAACTATTATTAAACAATTACATACTATTATACAATGATTACAACATGCGAGTTGGATGAATTTATAAACATTTAATCAATAGATATTTTTAATACCAGGCATTTTAAAAGTTTAATGTTTAAAATTACACATTTAGAGAGTTAAGTATTTATAATTTGCAAGGACTTACTTACCTAATCCTATATTGGTCATTGAGAATCTCCAGCATCAATCCTTCCACCTCTCACAACAAGATTAACACATTTTCTCACACTTATCATTAATTAAGTTACTCAAATAAATAAAACTTAATAAATCACCCAATTATATTTTAAAGTACAATTTGCCAAAGAATTTGCCTTTCACTTAGCATTCGGAACTGACACGTAGATCGAGTTAAATTAAATTCGGGTTGTGTAGCAGAACTTACCTGGCAATGCTACAATGTTGCAAGCCGAAATTCACAGTGTAATCATAGTTTATGAAATTTGTGGTAGTTGATGATTATTTTTCGGGTCGTGTTGGGTTCGGATGGCAGCGCCGAGCGCTTGCACTCGCGGCGACCACTCGGCTCGGAGTGAGGCTGGCGCGATTACCGTCGAGCCCTCGCGAGGCTGTGCTTTGTTTTCCATGAAAAACAAATACAAACAGCTTAGTTACTGAAGCCGCGGCAATTTTCAGTGCTGAAGACTTCAGGTGTAAATTGTGATCTATTCTGATTTTGTTATATTTTATTATGATAGAGTCCATAACTCTATCTTAAAATAAATAGTCACTTTCATTAAGCTTTGGATTATTGTGATATACACTCAACATCAAATAAACCGCACCTTCCGCGACGCGAACTTTAAAGATTTTCTTCTGACACAATTATGGTACCCCAACAATATTGGTGTTATTTGAAAGCCCAATAAATATCCTTAAAGAAAAATACATTTCATTTCTAAATAAATGATTAACATCTATACTTATAATAAATCTGTAGAGAGGTCAATTCTGTACATGAAATATATTTTCAAAATAACTATCAGGTGGTGATTAGTGATCGATACTGATGCCAAAAATGCAATCAGTAAAATTTTTGTCTGTCTGTCTGTCTGTCTGTCTGTCTGTCTGTATGTTCCTTATAGAAACAAAAACTACTCGACGGATTTTAACGAAACTTGGTACAATTATTCTTCATACTCCTGGGCAGGTTATAGGATACTTAGGAATTCCCACGGGACCGGGCATTAGCGGGAAAATCCTTTTGTATGAAAAATCTAAACCGCTTAAGTTAGACGCTTGAAATTTGGCAAGCAGGTACCTTAGTAAACTTAAAGCTTAGTTATAACAGGATATTGCAAAATTCCTACGGGAACGGGAATTAGCGAGAAAAAACATTTGTATGAAAAAATCTAAGCCACGTAAGATAGACGCTTGAAATTTGGCATGCAGGTACCTTAGTAAATTTAAAGCTTAGTTACAACAGGATATTGCGAAATTCTCACGGGAAAGGGAGTTAGCGGGAAAAAACATTTGATGAAAAAATCTAAACCGCGTAAGTTAGACGCTTAAAATTTGGCATGCAGGTACCTTAGTAAACTTAAAGCTTAGTTACAACAGGATATTGCAAAATTCCCACGGGAACTGGAATTAGCGGGAAATTGCTTTTGTATGACTGACTCACTGACATACCCACGCACAGCCTAAACGGCTAAACGTAGGCACTTGAAATTTATAAGGGATGTAGCTTAGGTACCGTAGAGGTGCACTAAGAAAGGATTCCCGAAATTCCCACAGGAACAGGAATTACCGGGAAAATCCTTTTGTATGAAAAATCTAAACCGCTTAAGTTAGACGCTTGAAATTTGGCATGCAGGTCCCTTAGTAAACTTAAAGCTTAGTTACAACAGGATATTGCGAAATTCCAACGGGAACGGGAGTTAGCGGGAAAAAACATTTGTATGAAAAAATCTAAACCGCGTAAGATAGATGAAGGGGGTAAAACGGGATCCACGCGTACGAAGTCGCGGGCGGCCGCTAGTATACCATAAATGTGACTTGAAAATAGACCTCACTTTGGGCTCACCTCTGGGATCAATTAGACCAATTTTTATGGTTACAAAACCAAATAAAGATCTCACGTGTCCTCTTTAACAGATGGATAGCGATTAATCCCAACTTAACAGTTTTATAGTCATAAAAAATGGCTATAGCGTAACTACCTATTTTTTGAAGAAGTGACTCTGGATCCTTGTAAAGACACATTTTTGGGGTAAAAGCCTTTCCTTTAATGAAATGAAGTTTAGAAGGGGATTGCATACGATTGCATTGGGGATGCATACGTTTGATAAGTGCTTGTCGCGGGAGGTGCGATTTATTTGATGCCGAGTGTATGTAATTGTACATATTTTTTATTTTACACTCGGCTGTTATAAATTCATGGTCTTTAAATTTTAACTCTCTGAGAGTTATATCCTTATATCTATATTCACATCAAAGGGGATTACGTTCATCAAAATTATTTCAAGATTATAATTTTAATTGTTACATAGCAATAACATAAAACGTTTTATTAATTACGCAAATAGCAGATGTCGTATAGTTAATAGTAATTTGTTTACTGAAAAATGAGTTATGTAAGAATTACATAATTTATAATTTAGTGCTTAGTAACTTCAGACTCAGAGCTTTCAGATGGGTGCTAAAACTGGAAACTAATAAAATAGGGATCAATTCCAATGCAAAAAATTCTCGGTAAATTGAGAAGCCTCTTCGCATAATTTTTATTACTTTCCTATGCTTCTAGTTCTTGAAAATCCACCAGCAAAACACAGGACTGAGATATGATATCTAGAGGTAATCCTTTCTTTTCATGCCATACTATTGCGTCACAGTTGACCTATAAATAAAGTAACAATCTTGTAAGCGTGGGTTGAATGGATAATATACATATGTGAGATGCGACAATGAGCAAAAATTAGCAAACTATTGTTTGCTTTTAGTTAGACAGTCCTTTGAAAAATACTTGCCTGAAAACAAATGAGGTTTTTGTCAAAAGTTCGGCAAGCAACAGGTACTGCTTGTAGTACGAGTATTATAAGACGCTCTACTACCTGTTGCGTTTAACAACGAAGTAAAGTAGCATTGTAATCCCTCTACAAAAACTCTTATTTCAGGCGACTGTATGGTTTCATAACTTATGGCCTTGTGGACTGAAAAGCTCATACCCAAGGCTTGAATCAAATACGAATCAAGTAACGGTGCAAAAATTGTAAGTTATTCGTACTATGTTTTTATTTATTTTTGACTCAGCGCTGTTGAGTCTTAAACTATGCAAAGCTTGTACCTACTTACTATAGGTACGAATCAACGCTTATAAAATAATTAATTAATAACTTTTTCCATTCATACAACTAGGTACCTACTTAATACAAAATACTCGGACGTCCTCAGAATGAAAAGAACAAAATGTGTGTTTTGTGCGGTAATTGAAACAGCATCCTGTCCTGTTGCATAAGTACGGGACACTCGAACCACCAGGCATGGAGACTGTTAAACTTATCAAATTATGAACGGTAAATTCCTTATTTTTATTGAATTGAAAAGTTTTTCATTTTTGACGTCTTTTAGATTGTAAACAAGCGTATGAAAAAATTTACGAAAGAAATCATAATTTCTTCTATTTCGCGTCTTAAAATAATTACTAATTTCATAATTCATTTATTTGTTATTTGTAATCGATTATATCGGTCGAGCAAGGTTGTGTATTTCATGAAAAAACTATAAATTGAAATACAAAACAGTACAAGTAACCACCTCACGCCTGCATTGTGGCGTAGTGATTAGAAAAAGACTCTATCCTCCTGACCAGAAGCTCATTCATAAGGAAGCAAATGTCAGGACCATCTGGTTGATTAAATAGCATAAAAGAATAGATTTTAGATCATGATCTCTCTGAAAAAGGAACTTTAAACTGAGTAATATTATTTATTTTTCACCCTACTGGTTTTGTTTAACGAACGGCAGCTATCGCAAAATTTATCAATACTACTCTATCGACTGTAAAGGGCTTAACTTTTGAACAGTCTCCCGATAATTTGCTTATCACGCTACAGAAAAAACGTCCATATACATTTAGTGACGTCAAAAGAGTAAATACCAAATTGATCGAACACATTGTCTGTCACCCGTTAACGCCCAGCCGCCCTCTGTACCTACCCACGCGTTAGAGGCGACACGAAGTCGCCATGGATTATGGACGGAAAATATACATTAGGTGTTAGAACATGACCTTGTCAGCTTAGTCTAGGAGCTCGTGGTCCCTCGGGATAGCGATTTTCTTTAAAAGTTGGCAGGTTTATTCGTAGTAGTTAAGTACTTTTTTTAAAATAACCACTACGAGTTTGAATTTTCAAATAAGAGCTCATGCACACTACGTTTTTTCAGGTTTCAGGCGAATTCGACGATTGTTTTACGATCGCGCGTGATCGCGATTGCTTTGCTGGATAGTAACATTGTTTGCTTTAACATCGCGTGCATAGCGCGTTTTAAGTCGTGAAACACGTGTCGACGGCGCCTGAAAAATTCGCGGTGTGCATAGGCCCTTAATTCACACATTGTAAAGCCAAAAAAACCAAGCAACTGAAATGTTAATAAAGGTTTTAAAATAAGTTTTAATTATAAATCCAAAGCTTAAGGACAATAATCTTGATTAATAATAGAATATAATTATCTTCTTCATATTCTATTGTAGGTAAGTAACAAACTAAAATGTTAAGTCTAACTTAACTCCAAAGAGTTTCTAACCATAAAGAAAGAAATATCATTAAGTACTCTGTCAGAGGGTTCACGAGCTCCGAGTCTATACATTAAAGTCTACTCTTAAGAGCCATTTTACATTTTCGTGCGAATTTCTAAGATTTTGGAAGCATGAATTACTATCTTAAGCAACACCCAGAGATTATTTAATAACTGCGAAAGATTGACCTATCTTTCGCAGTTATCCTTGTTGTTGACCATTAATGAAACGGATTTACTAAAACTCTTTTGCTTAATTCACAGTGCCCCATCTCCCACAACCATTTTACGAAAAAATTGCCGCAGACTCATTTTCAAAGTCCTGTATCTATTATTTATGCTCATATAATAAGCTTAAAAATATATAGTAATCATCGGACATATATTCTTGTAGTCCATTAATGAAACAGATTCTTGAATTTCATTACCATTATTGAGTAAAATCTAAAAATAATTTGGCAAATTTGAAGATTAACGTCACATTTTGATCGTGGTTTTTGGTTTAAAAACACAGTATAAACTGCAATAAAAGTATCCCAAAATAAAGAATATTCATTACGAAAATAATTACACACAGCACTAGAGTCGTATCGGAACTGAGTGAACCAAAGGTCTTGCGATAGGAACGTCCGACCCGAGTGATAGTTGAACACAGACTGCCTAGTACTGCTGTACTGTACTGTAAAGTTTCATCAAAATCTGTTCAGTAGTTTTTGCGTGAAAGTGTAACAAACATCCAGACATCCACACAAACTTTCGTATTTATAATATTAGTAAGACTAGTAAAAAGTAAGATAGTAAGATGAATTATTTTAGTTATTTGTTTACTTATAATAATATTTATTTATTTATTTCTTAGCTCTGTCTGATAATGGATCTGGAGGAGATGCAATGGCCACCTCCGTAACAAAACAATAGAACCATATGGAGTTTGGGCTTGTGTGATTCGCCTTGACGAATATTTCTTATCCAGGGTCCGATGATGGAGCTGTAAGGGGGCAGATTTATTTTTCACTATGTGACTGTCTTTATTTTGTACTTAATATATATTTTACATATTATACCTATTCGTGTTTAATTATAAATCGAAATATAAAAGACTTAATAAACTCTATTAAAAATTTAAATTAATTAATCAAGTTTGAATACCTCATTCTACCTTAAAATTAATAACTTAAATCAAGTCTTAATACGGTCACGGCTCAAGATTTTTTTGTCCATTTCAGCGTTCTTTTTACTCTTTTGACGTTGCGTTGACAGCTTTTACCTAAATTCGCGCGGAATATTTTTGTGAAATGGCTCTTAACAAAGGATTCTTGTCTTAGGCAGAGTTGCCCCAATTTACTTTAACCGTAACTATAACAATAACCGGTGCTTTTTGTATGGAGTTTGACAGATTTTTGACGTTAGTCAAAGTTAAAATAAGCCGCGCGAGCCATTAATAAAAAAAAAGTTAAAGTAAGATGGTAACTCAGCCTGAAAGTGTTACTATTAAAAGTTTAGTAAAATTCATGGCAGAAATTACATTTATTCACAACTCATAATTAAATACTTTTAGGCTCGAAAAATGGAGGTCAATGAAGCCTTTCTTCCTATCGCTATTTAAAAATTGTACTTAGTTTCTTTGTTACTTTTGTTAGTGGTCTTTGGTTATTAATATTGCTTCAGTTAGATTTTATTAAACAAAAACTACCTTTTTAAATAAAATTTCAGGTAGGACTTACCTATAACAAAAATATATTAAACAAATTATTTAAAAAAAATCTTGTATAATTATTTAAAAATAAGCCTAATTGAATTAACCAAAACTTTGAATTACCTACTTCGTAAGTTTGATACGAAACTTTGGGTTGCTTGCTAGCAACGACTGCAGAAAAGAAATGTTTGCTACTTTTATTGCTTCAGGTGTGACTTTTTTACTTTATTAGATTTATGTAAAAACAACTTAGTACGCAGAGCCTCCTGCCTCTGCCTGACACAAGACTCTCAGTGTGCCATTTTACCCTAACTTTGGTCCACCAGATATTACGCAACGTTGTCACCCCGCCTAGAGAAAGCTACTCTACATTTTCTGAGTCGCAGCCTCCACTTCAGGATTTATTTACCCCAGTATTTTCTTAATATAAAACTACTTCAAAATAAAGGTACCTAGATAAAGCATCACAGTTAGACATCATGACTATTGTAATATCATCAATTTACTCAACTGGCTCTTTTTGTTTGAAACTAAGTTAAGTATTGCAGTAAGTAGATTTGCGACAGAGATGTTTTGTTTTGTTTGAAAGTTTGCCCTGCAGGTCAGAATTTTGTGGCTATTGCAAAATTTCGCGACTTGTCTAGACAAATTAAAATAAGTAGGTAGGTTACTACCTATTCTATTTTGGCAATATGTATTATTGTTTAACAAATCGATACTTTTAACTCTTCTGCGTATGAATATTACCTATGTATTTACTTTATATTTAGACCACCGACATGATTAAATACATGGCTTAAAAGATTTTTTTTAATTTATTTATTTATTCATTTCCATGCCTAAGCCTATTTATTATTTAAGATGCAATACATTAATCTTCACTTTTCTCAGTAAATAACTTATAATAGGTAGCGGTAGTTGCATGCGCACTTTAAAATTATGTACCTACCTACTTGATAGATAAACGCATCCAGCCAGTGGCAGCTTTAGTATTATCAGGTCATCTGTTCATCAGGTAGACCGATCTCTACCAAGCATAGGTACATACTTAAGTCTCTACATACGAAGTATGTAATTGAATTCTTTTAAAATATCTATGACTCTATTATAACGAAGTTCGATGACGTTTTTCCTCAAATCAAAATATTTTGAGTAAGTAAATCTTGTAGATAAAATACTTAGCACTTATCTGATTTTACGTTAACATATATTTATCAGCAAAGTTGCACATTCGATTATTCACATTCATTCAATGACAGGCAAAGTCACAGGAAACTTAATAGTTACAATAAGTGAGAACATACCTGTGTTTTTCTGTAACAAAATGATTTCAGGACAGATTTTCAATAGTTTCATTTAAAAAGTTGAATATCTAATTAATTTATTTTAATTTTAATGAATCTTATTGTTGTTAGGTTTTTAAGTTTTTACGAGCATTTTATCCAGTTAATCGTTTTGAATTACACTAAACAAACAAGCAGGCAAACATTCACTTTTATATTAGTGTAAGATAAATAAATCATTTAAATATCGTTCTTATTAGTGTGTGATTGTAGTACTTAATCATCAACACTATTTAATATTAATTGCGATAACATTTAATCACAAACAAGTCAATATTGTGATAAGACACGATTGAATAATTAATAATCGAGTTGCAATCCTCCTTTAAACCACTGTGGCAGTGAAACTAATTTTCGCAAATAATAAAAACTAAACATGGAAGCATTTTTAATAATCATTCTTATTTCTCTAATAGTAAACTTCTTCTTCGTGTTCGGTGCGATACTCTACACCCTACTCAGGAATGAAAAGGTAAGTGTTAAACTAATTGGTTAAGTAACATATTTTTATACGTAAAAAAAATAACACTAAGAACTTCATGAGTAAGTAGGGCAAATGTGATGCAAGAAACTGATATTGTTGAAGAAATTGAAATTGTATTTTAGTTACCTACTCAACTCAATCAAAAAAGTCTCTTTTGCTAATTGAACACTTTACCTACCTACTGCTGTTAGTTCTGGATGATCGAATAATCTATTTCAATGAAGTAAGCCTACTTACTTAGATACCTATAACACGTATGACTTAATAACTGCACCTATGGCTGATACGTTACCACGTTATGGGAACCTTATCGTGGTTTCCCCTGACATGACTGTAATACGATGACACGAAAGGGGTGACTTCCCAGTTTCCAATTGAAAACTTTCTTTACTTTACCCCGAAATTATATTTATTATACAGGGTGACAGGTATTATGATACATTCCTTGATAGGGGTTAAAGTAGAGCTTATTTGCATTCATTTAAGTCATATGACACCATGTCCGAAACTTGATCATTTCCAAGTTATGCAAGATTTAAGTATTTTTTAAAAAAATCTCCAGTTTTTATGTTAAAATGTACCCTTGTAATGAAGAATACGGAATAATGTTAACTTTTTTGTTGTATTCGTATAGCTAAATAACGCATCGCATTGAATGTATCGCATTACCTGTCACCCTGTATAATCTAATTATGAAAACTTAAGTAAAAAAGTTACATACAAGTTCAATGACGTAACGTGTGATTGATGATGTACATTAAGTATATTATTATGAATCGTTTCTATCATAGACTTCATGAGGATAAAATTTTGAACAAGTGTATGAAGGTTTGTTGTTCAGAAGCATGAGAGACCAAACCCAAACTGAATGAGAATAAAACGTGCATATAATTTCTTGAAAATCTGGTACATACACGTACATAAACTTACTTACTATTGTTCTCCAGGAGCCCAGCGTGGACCCAAGAGTTTCCACGACCCATTCAACAACGGCATCAATTCACTGGCAAGACGCCTCGCGCCGCCACAGCAGTCATCCCCAAGTGATGCTGTACCACACCTTCGTTCGCCTGAGCATTGCCTCTGACCACCACCGCCCGCAGAAGAACTCATTCTGGCAAAAATTTAAATGTGGCAGTTCTAATAAAGTCGCGGTAGCGCAGTGAAGAAACGTGGCATTCTTTGTTTACTATGTACTCGTACTTAGATTGACAATGTTTGGCTCATTTCAGTTCGTTTGATTACCAACTTCCATGTCATGAATATCGTTCACATTAATGTCGTTTGGAAAATATGTGAGAAGTAGATACGCATGCTCGTAGAAAATAAAATAAGCAATTAAAATAATGCTTATTAATTTGCGGATAGCGGTTACTTTTGACAACAAAAGGAAAAATTCTACTTTTAGAGTTATGATTGAATATTTTAATTGAATTGTAATGATACGTACTGAGCTACATAGTTTCTATTCATCATTTATGATTAATAAATGATGCATTCAGGTAGGTACCTCAATTGACTACCTAAGGGGATCAATCCTACTCAAATGAAATTTCCCAAAATTCAGGAAAGTATAAATAAATTTTACAAATTGTAGTAATTTTGAAAAATAACATAACCCTCCTCCTGGTGCAGTCGGGTAAAAAAGCAAATAGACTGTAGGTACTTACTAATTATTTAACTACTTAATTTACTACTAAGATACTTCATCTTAAATAACCTTTTCAGTTTTTGCCAGCAATAAAACTATTCGTTGCGTGTATGACATCTTTGCTCTTTTGTTGTAGGCACTACCTACTAGCATAGCTGGGCATTAACTCGTTAATCCGTTAATCGTTAATTAACGAAGTTAACATTTCTATTAACGGATTAACTTTTAAGTTAACTTTAAAAAATGTTAACGGACTCGTTAACTTCCGTTAAATTATCCTAAGTCCGTTAATCGTTAATCCAGTACCTACTATTTACCAAAAAGATACAGCAGGCACGCTGAAAACCAACTTTTTTCCACTTTGGAAGCGTGTGTCACGCAAACTATTCTGTTTAGAAAAAAAATATTTTAGAAACCTCGATATCATTTTTGAAGACCTATCCATAGATATCCCACACGTATTGTTTGATGAAAAAAAATTTTTGAGTTTCAGTTCTAATACTTCTAAGTATGGGAAGCCCCCAATATTTATTATTATTTTTTTATTTTTGCATCAAAATTTTAATGCGGTTCACAGAATACATCTACCTACCGAGTTTCAACTAGAGATGAAACGGATATCCGGTAACTATCCGGTAGGCCGGATATCCGGCCTAAAAGACAATGCCGGAAATTGGCGTCTTTTTTTTTTCACGCGCAAAACCTTGTTTTTTGATTACAAAATAGTGTAATAAACCAAACTTACTACGACATGTATACCTACTAGAGATGAAACGGATATCCGGTAACTATCCGGTAGGCCGGATATCCGGCCTAAATTTACTATCCGGCCGGATACCGGATAGTAACTCACTATCCGGCCGGATACCGGATATTAAAAAACTAAGACATTTTCCTATTAATAAAATTAAATACATTAATCTTTGAGGTAAATATCAATAAAATGGCTTATTATTATAATGACGGCTTTTATTGAAAGTCCAAAAAGTTACAAAAAAGCCATATTAAAACTATTTTTTTTTCTGGGCTAATCACTCTAATTACGAATACATAAATAGTAAACATCTGTTAATGTCGAAATATTGCCAAATAAAAAAGGCGATCTTTTTTCACTGAAGATGGTCTGGTGACATGATGCATGCAGTTCAGTCAGATTACGCAGCAAGTAAATTAATTTAATTTTCGCTATTCAATCACACACTCACTATAGCAACCGAAATCATCCGAATTGATGCAGATCTATTCTAGGGGGCAGCCCCTAGACAAGTGGCAATATCTGACATTCAATTCGGACGGATTCGATTTTCGGATTCGGATTTTCGATGGAAAAGTGTGAGTAGTCAAGTCTACTACGAGTAATAGACCCACTGATCGCTTTTGAAGCACCTGTGCGGCGCTAAACTCGTCACGACATGCAACGAGACAATGGGCCAACTATCCGGCCGCCGGATATCCGGCTATCCGGCCTAGCAGCTAGCCGGATATCCGGTATCCGGTATCCGGCCAAACAACTATCCGTTTCATCTCTAATACCTACCTCTAAACTCAGTCTGAACTGAGTTACGAGCATCAGAAGTTTGATGATTTTCATACTATGTAGATTTGCTGTTTGCGCGCAAGTTTTGTAAGAAATTGCAACAAAATAATGACATTGTATGTGTAAACAAACAATACCATCCATTAAAGGCTCCAGACATCAGTATGCAGTAGAATCAGTGCAATAAAAAAATAGCGCAATATTTTGTTGAAAAGACAATGCCGGAAATTGGCGTCTTTTTTTTTCGCGCGGCCATCGACCAAACTTTGTTTTTTGATTACAAAATAGTATAATAAACCAAACTTACTATGACATGTATACCTCTAAACTCAGTCTGAACTGAGTTACGAGCATTAGAAGTTTAATGATTTTCATATTAGATTTGCTTTTTGCGCGCAAAGTTTTGTAAGAAATTGCAACAAAATAGTGAGATTGTATGTATAAACAAACAGTACCATCCATTAAAGGCTCCAGACATCAGTATGGAGCAGAATCAGCGCAACAAAAAATAGCGCAATATTTTGTTGCAATTTCTTACAAAACTTGCGCACAAAAAGCAAATCTAGTATGAAAATCATCAAACTTCTAATGCTCGTAACTCAGTTCAGACTGCATTTAGAGGTATACATGCCATAGTAAGTTTGGTTTATTACACTATTTTGTAATCAAAAAACAAAGTTTGGTCGATGGCCGCGCGAAAAAAAATGGACGCCACTTTCCATACAAAATCTGGCATTGCCATTTCTTACAAATCTTGCGCGCAAAAAGCAAATTTAGTATGAAAATCATTAAACTTCTAATGCTCGTAACTCAGTTCAGACTGAGTTTAGAGGTATACATGCCATAGTAAGTTTGGTTTATTACACTATTTTGTAATCAAAAAACAAAGTTTGGTCGATGGCCGCGTGAAAAAAAAAAGACGCCACCTTCCATACAAAATCTGGCATTGCCATTTACTATCCGGCCGGATACCGGATAGTAACTCGCTATCCGGCCGGATACCGGATATTAAAAAACTTCGACAATTTCCTATTAATAAAATGAGATACATTAATCTTTGAGGTAAACATCAATAAAATGGCTTATAATTATGACGGCTTTTATTTAAAGTCCAAAAAGTTACAAAAAGCCATTTTAAGGCCTTTAAAAAAACTAATTTCTTTTTCTGGGCTATTCACTCTAATAACGAATACACAAATAGTAAATATCTGTTAAGTCGAAATATTGCCAAATAAAATAGGCGATCTTTTTTTCACTGATGGTCTGATGTCATGATGCAGTTCAGTCAGATTACACAGCAAGTAAACTAATTTAATTTTCGCTATTCAATCACACACTCACGATGGCAACCGAAATCGCCCGAATCGATCTGCCCCCTAGACAAGTGGCAAAGTCTGACATTCTATCCGGACTGATTCGATTTTCGAAAAGTGTGACTAGTCTAGTCTACTAATAGACCCACTAATCGCGTTCAAAGCACCTGTGCGGCGCTAAACACGTCACGACATGCAAAGAGACAATGGGCCAACTATCCGGCCGCCGGATATCCGGCTATCCGGCCTAGCAGCTGGCCGGATATCCGGTATTCGGTATCCGGCCAAACAACTATCCGTTTCATCTCTAGTTTCAACAGTATAACTTGTGGTATAAATTTTATAGTTTCGGAAAAAAATGGCTGTGACTGTGACATACGGACGGACAGACATGACGAATCTATAAGGGTTCCGTTTTTTGCCATTTGGCTACGGAACACTAACAAGCTTTTATTCTGAAATGCAGTTGTACTAAAACGAAAAAAATAATTGTACTTATGCAAGGTTCAAATAATTTCGAAAGCGCATGGAATTTATTCCTCTTTTATGTTTGTAGCGCAAACATAAAAGAGGAATAAATTCCATGCGCGATACAAGCTTTCGAAATTATTTGAACATATTATTTTTTTCGTTTTATTATTATGTGTTAACGGATTAACGATTAACGTTAACTTGCGTTAACTCTTGCGAAATGTAACGTTTTAACGTTTAACGAAGTTAATTTTTTTATTAACGGTTTAACGATTAACGAAGTTAACTATTTGATTAACGGTGCCCAGCTATGCCTACTAGAATATTACAGAAGAAAAATCTTTGAATTTACCACAATAATTTTATTGAATTAGGTTTGTTACTTAGGCCTGATCCCTGAGCGGCGCTAAACATCTGTTTACTACATACTTAGATAGAGTCTATGAGTCTTGAAGTTGATGACCACTACCACGTCTTGGCAAGGATATGAGGGTGATTAATATGCTTACAGCAAGAGAGGTGACGAAGTGATACTTACTCGTAGGTAAGTAAATATTTCGGTAAGTATATCTTGTTGTTTAAAATCTTCCTAGGTCTCCCCAATACAACGCAGAACGGGATTGATGGCGCACTTCTAACGACAGAAGACAGGATAGCTTATATCCTTGGATAGTAGTAATGAGTCCTACTACTTACCTTCGATACATACGTCATGTTGGAAGATCTCATTAATACCTCCTACCATCGTTGTTGTTCAAAATGCAATTATGAAGACTGTTTCCTCGAGCCTTCAAACAGAAGCAACTTACGTGAATACTAATAGAAAATTAACTCATTACATTCGAAGGAAAATTCCGTGGTGGCTTTTTAGGGTTTCGCACCTACAACAAAATAAAAAGGAACGCTTATTATTATTATATATTAGGTCTACTCAATGAGGGCTATCGTTTTTATACTCAACAGTTGGCACCCCTGGCGATTGACAGGACCTTATTCTACAGTGGCGCCAACTGGTGAGCGCTAAAACGATAGCCCTCATTACGAAGTTACACTTGAAACTGTAGAAAGAAACACACCTTTCAGGCAACAATAAAAAATATGGTACCTATCCCTTTAACTCTTTAGGTATCTGCCGACTTTTTACTTCGCTTCTTAGTCTTTTGACAATAACTAAGTATAGGAAAAACTTGGTATTCCCAGAATCATAATATTTTTTTAAAAGGAAAATTCGAATTTGTTTATTTGTACCTAATA